GTCAAATTTCTCCTTCGTGAGTTTATCAGCCATAGGTGCATGATCTCACGGACATGCGCAGTACGTTATTCAGCCCTGTCAGTTTACCCGTACAAAACGGACATCGTAGTCATGCAAAGCAACGCACATTACGCACATTTAGGGCCCGAAGCATTTTTCAAGTCGGTTTAGTAGCAAACGGGATTCCCGTTTCTGTCGACATTAAGGACTGGATTTTAAGGTTAACTAGCGTAATGTCTCGGGCGAGAAAGCGACTAACACTTCAGGCTAAATTATGGGTTAGAATTTTGCTTTGACTCTTTCTTGTTACATGCAATACCTGAATGATAAATACTCTCTGACATCAAATGTCAGACGAGCTATGCCATAGGGATTTACACGTTTTTTTCCGTCAAAAGTGGCTCAAAATAAAATTGCCGCTTACCTTCTCCACATAAATGTACACTAAATGTTATATCTAAGAGGAAAGTATAAAGGGAATTTTAGCAGAAAAATAGCCTAAAGGACGTTTCTGTATGAGGCAGCAGAATTCCTGTCAAGTTTAAAACAATCGTTTGTTCATCAGAGTAAACTTCAAGTTAAATGAGTCACCAGTGCGAACAATCCAATAAAAGCGCAGTTTCTGATTATAAGCTCTTACTAATAGTCTCTAGCCAACCCTACCCTACTCTACCTTATACTACTCCCAACCCTACCCTACCTTATACTACTCCCAACCCTATCCTACCCTTATACTACTCCCAACCCTACCCTACGTTATACTACTCCCAACCCTACTAAGCACGCACCATATCTAGTTCAATCACACACATAATATAGGGAACGCCTTTGAAGGGTTTTTTTATTAATTATTTTTGCTGAAAACGTTTTATCCCAGGCAAGTTCAGGCGGAAGAGCATCAATCTCAGCTCCCTATGTAAGTTTAGAACCCTAATATCGACATTGACATTGGGGACGAAATCGTAATGTATATATTTTGGCACATCCATTTACTAAGACGCAAATCTTTTTAAACGCCTCCCTATTATTAGACTATGACTAGTCCCCATTTTTCCTCAGGTAAAGTAGAGCGAGCGAAACGCAACCGCGCGTGAAACTCACTCCACGCTCTCTACCGCTGCGTCTCGCCTTTCCTCGCGTGGTGAGATTTTCACGTGCGCTCGCGTTTCGTTCGCTCTAGTCTCTCTGAGGAAAAATGGGGACTTTTCGTAGTCTACCCTATTATTGACTCTGGACATAAAAGAGGTCCCTCTCAAAACTTAAAAGAAATTAACACACACCGTAGTGGTTTAATGGATCTTTTACGGTATAGTTCAATTTAAGGGTAGGAACGTCGTCCCCTTATTCATTGTCAAAACTTCCTTTGTGCCCCTTTGAGATTAATTAACTAGGAACTTCACACGGGCATAGAGACGGGGAACGTATTGATTTTCAAGGAATATATGTCAAATATTTCACGTGAAAAAAAATATTCTGGAACTGAGGGAGGTTGTCCATATTTTAATCATGCAAAGATTGTGTTGAGGGCTTGTAAAGCTCGCTAGCCTTTGAAACTAGAGGACCAAGACTCTGTTCTTTCTCTTTAAGATAGCAGTTTAATCTTCAACAGCTACTTACAACAACTCTACAATTTCTACTAGCTTACACAGCGAATTAAATAACCAAATTGTAGACTTAGTTTGGGTTAGCTGACCGGAAGAGTTTCTTTTGAATATCTTATCGCCTATATTGCAACAGGTTTGCTATAGTTAGATAAGCCTACACAGCCGCAACCGACAAGTACCAAAGAACCAGTTAAATGCTAACAGTAAAACTGCCCAGAAGGACTAAATATACAAAACAGGAACTCGATTGTGGGTAAAACTCAAGGTCAGCGGTACTCCCCAAACAAGCCTACTTCAAAGAAACAAAACTAAGCTTAACAAACACTTCAAATGGATAATACTAGACAAAAACTCAGGAACTAACCATGTGGGGAAATACACTGAATCTCTGAGTCTCTAAGTCTACAGAAGTCTATAAACTGTTTATCACGAAGCTAGCAAAATCTTAAAAATAGCAAAACTGAAAAACAAAACTAAAGGCAACTACCTCATAACAATTGCAACTGGTTTGTGCGCTTTCATATTTGCTGGGGGCTGAACAATTTATAACAGGTAGACAAAGATACAGTCAAACCTCTATTAACCGGACACCAGCGCATTTCCAAAGGTTCTAACGTTTAATCGGTGAAGTCGCAGTAACGGAATGAGACAATCTGAAGACAACGATTTGCTTTTTAGACAAACTATCCCAATTTATTTCTCCATTTTATAGCCGACGCTTCGCTAAAAATATATAAAAATGCTAGAAATCCGATTTCTTTTGATATAAACGTAGCTAGATCCGTGATTTAAACGCCGGAAGCAGCGGGAGAAAAACCAATGCTTGCTTTAACAGTAACGTCTACCTCATGTATGAGTATTTTATGCAGGCCACCACTGCTTGGCACTAAGAAGGTTAGGAGGGTAATTACTCAATTTCCTGGTGGATTCCGTCTTAATTTCTATAGGTACAATTTAGGTGAGGTGTAAAACGTATCCTCTGTACATATGTATAATTAAAGGTCATGTAGACTTAAATCAAAACCAATCTAGACACTAATAAACTTAAACCAATCTGCCAAAAGAATTAAAAACTACAACTGTGTACATAATATAAAAGTAAAGAGTATATTAAATTGCTAGTCTGAAGTGCCTCTGTCCCATGTGGTATCGATGAAAATAGCCGAAATTGACTACTGATTCCCGATATTTTTCAGGTGACTATAAAACAAGTTTCAAGTGCACATGACTGGTCGCAAAATAAGCTACGAAACGTACACTGTCATTTTCAGACTACGCAAAATATTAACAGCAGATAATTTTTTCTTCTGGATACAGTGTTTCTATTCTTGCGAGGAACGCTCCACCTCGTAATCGTGACAAAATTAGAAACTGTCTTCACCCTCAGATAGTTAGGAACTGCTTCATTGCATTCTTCATCATACCTATACAACAACAACCACAACAGGAAAAGCAACGTTAGCAAGCTAACAAAAGAAAAGGATAGTGACTTCATCTGGCGAGGCATAACATTTTGACAACTGACTTTTAAGAGTGTGCTCGATTGATCGTACCCCGGAATAAGAATACGCAAAAGTTTTGATGCAAACCTCTTCTATACCGTAATTTTTGAACCATCTAAAGTTTATATAGATCAAAATACTTTATTTCAAGCAGTTTTGTAGAATGAAAGACAGAACAAGTGATTTCTGCCGAGGTTATTCCATTAATTTATTTTTAATTAAGACGCGGAATACGGTGAATCGAACACGCCCTAAATTTATAAGAGCAAAGGGTCACATTAAAACTCGTACCTTCAACCAATGATTAGACTTATTGTAGATTCAAAGAAACTTGCATACCATAAATTCTTTATTAAGCCTTCCTCTCAAATAAGCCTCTTTTAAGAGGAAAATCATTTAACCTCCTCCTCTCTTTCAAGTCTCTTCTCCCTATTCTTATACAATAGACGTATGATAGATGTGTTAATTTACCACGACTCTAACACTTCATGTGGACTGATTATCGGGTATGGTTTATTCATGAGCTGCAAGTTTCGATTTGATTTGGATCCTCGGCTGATCATGACCTCCAACTTCATGTCCCTGAGATTCTTCACTTTAGGTTCTAGTTCTTTACGGGGAAATGATATCACAATCTTCGCTTCATTAAGTAAGCCCCTCCTCCCTCTCAAACGTTCTTGAAATGAGTAAACCCCCCGGGAGGCTTAATAAAGGATTTACCATATCTAGAGACTTTCCTAAGCGACACCTTCCGTAAAATAAGCGACCAGAAATTTGATCTTCGCATTTTGAGACGTCGCTTACGTCAGGTTCGACTGTAAGTTACAGTGGAACGAACTCAGACGGGGCACACTTCGAAATGTTAAAAAATCATGCGACTTGAAATAAATTTTCTAGTGTTTAACTGCCAAAAGAACTACCAAAGTCAGACTCCATTGTTGTTGAACTTGACCTGTGATTGGCAGATTGACGCTACGTGGCACCGGTTGAGTTCGTTGCTCAATAAAAGGTCATAAATAACTATAACTCCTTGTTAAAATGATGTTTCCTAAACCACGTAATATTATCCAGGGTTTAAATATATCCTAAAATACCTTGCTATTTATTGGATGCCCTCAAACTCGAGCGTTACGTCGTCACCAATGAGAACAAACGGCGCCCAGTACTTCACTGCGTTAAAGCGGTCAGATTCTCTCATGGATTTCATGGCTTTATTCAGAGAATCACTGGCACTTCGTCCATGGACTAGGTTTTGGTAGAAAACTTTCATGAACTCCATAGTAGCTTCGTCGTCGATCACCCACAAGGACACCAGAACAGAGCGAGCACCAGCACCTAAAAAAGCCCGTGCAATACCGACCACACCCTCAGATTTAACTTCTCCCCGGGCACTATGACAACAACTGAGTACAACAAGTCTTGCCCTAATCTGCGCCTTTAAAACATCTTTCATAGTTAAGAGATAGTCCTCCCTGGCTGGATTCACGCATGAACGTGTTGTGTTTGGGGCCAAGGCAATTTCTCCTGTTTCCATTTTACCGTGAGCAGCAATGTGCACCAGAGCAACCGAGGAGATACGTGTTAACACTTCATCTTTTGTTGCCTGCTTTCCAACGAGAGGTTCAGTTTGAAGTATTTTCCCAATCATCTGCACTTCCTTTGCGGCCCACGCTAACTGCTCTAGCCTCATTCCTTCATAAACTACCTCCTGTACCCACGGGAAGAGCGCCAGTCTTGCTGTGCCAATCTGATGGACAATTTTGAATTAATCGCAGGGTAGAAAGTGAGGGAACTAAGCGAATTCTCAACGTTTCGCAGAGGAATTTTGATTCCAAGTCTATGAAAGCAGCATAAGGGGCCAAACAAAGAGGTCCTTGTGGAACAATAACAACCTCATCGCTATGGAGTAAGTCTCTTATAGGGTCCATAACAACTTTGTAAAATGTTTGTAATGACTTTGTCTCAAAAGATGAGGAATGAGACCTTGGCTTACTGGATCTTTTTTCTGCTAACTTGTTATCGCTTGGGTTCCTTAATGAGCGATCTTCACAGTTAACATCAGCTCTCACACCTATTTCTTCATGTGCAGTCTCCAGTAGAGACTGAAAATAGGTTTCGACGGAGGTATCCATCTGAGTTTTTCTAGTTTTGATTTTGTTTCCTTTCTCGTTCACCCAGAGAACTATTCCTCCCTCGTTAATACCTATAAAAGCTGTATTTGATGGTAGGTAATTAAGAATGTCAGGTGTTGTTGCAGAGAATGCTCCTATTTCTCGAGGCAACCCTTTAAACCCATACTTTAACTCCAGAAGATCATTTAAAGCTTGGGCACGTCCATGATCAGCAGTTAAAAGTGCCTCGACGACTTTACCTTGCTTAAACTGTAGCCCCCAGAGCCTCAAATTAGTATTATCATACGTACACGCAAGACTAATCTTCCATTCGTCATCAGATATGAGACTTCCCCTGATATAGTCGAAGGCAATGACACTTTTTTTATAACAGTAAATGGCTGTCTGGAACTCTCCAAGACTGTCATAGGCGTTGCCAAGATTACAGTACGCTTTTCCTCCTCCTGCCCTGTCTCCCACTTCTTTGGAAATTTTGAGGTCTCGTTCATGGTACTCTATGGCTTTCTGGAAATCTCTAAGACTGTAATAGGCGTTGCCAAGATTACAGTACGCCCTTCCTTCTCCTGCCCTGTCTCCCACTTCTTTGGAAATTTTGAGGTGTCGTTCATGGTACTCTATGGCTTTCTGGAAATCTCCAAGACTGTAATAGGCGTTGCCAAGATTACAGTACGCTTTTCCTTCTCCTGCCCTGTCTCCCACTTCTTTGGAAATTTTGAGGTGTCGTTCATGGTACTCTATGGCTTTCTGGAAATCTCCAAGACTGTCATAGGCGTTGCCAAGATTACCGTACGCTTTTCCTTCTCCTGCCCTGTCTCCCACTTCTTTGGAAATTTTGAGGTGTCGTTCATGGTACTCTATGGCTTTCTGGAAATCTCCAAGACTGTCATAGGCGTTGCCAAGATTACCGTACGCTTTTCCTTCTCCTGCCCTGTCTCCCACTTCTTTGGAAATTTTGAGGTCTCGTTCATGGTACTCTATGGCTTTCTGGAAATCTCCAAGACTGTCATAGGCGTTGCCAAGATTACCGTACGCTTTTCCTTCTCCTGCCCTGTCTCCCACTTCTTTGGAAATTTTGAGGTCTCGTTCATGGTACTCTATGGCTTTCTGGAAATCTCCAAGACTGTGATAGGCGTTGCCAAGATTACAGTACGCTTTTCCTTCTCCTGCCCTGTCTCCCACTTCTTTGGAAATTTTGAGGTCTCGTTCATGGTACTCTATGGCTTTCTGGAAATCTCCAATACTGTCATAGGCGTTGCCAAGATTACAGTACGCCCTTCCTTCTCCTGCCCTGTCTCCCACTTCTTTGGAAATTTCGAGGTCTCGTTCATGGTACTCTATGGCTTTCTGGAAATCTCCAAGACTGTAATAGGCGTTGCCAAGATTGCTGTACGCTTTTCCTTCTCCTGCCCTGTCTCCCACTTCTTTGGAAATTTTGAGGTGTCGTACATGGTACTCTATGGCTTTCTGGAAATCTCCAAGATGTTTAAAAGAAATGCCAAGATTACAGTACGCTTCTCCTTCCCCTGCCCTGTCTCCCACTTCTTTGGAAATTTTGAGGTCTCGTTCATGGTACTCTATGGCTTTCTGGAAATCTCCAAGACTGTAATAGGCGTTGCCAAGATTACCGTACGCTTTTCCTTCTCCTGCCCTGTCTCCCACTTCTTTGGAAATTTTGAGGCGTCGTACATGGTACTCTATGGCTTTCTGGAAATCTCCAAGATGTTTAAAAGAAATGCCAAGATTACAGTACGCTTTTCCTTCCCCTGCCCTGTCTCCCACTTCTTTGGAAATTTTGAGGTCTCGTTCATGGTACTCTATGGCTTTCTGGAAATCTCCAATACTGTCATAGGCGTTGCCAAGATTACCGTACGCTTTTCCTTCTCCTGCCCTGTCTCCCACTTCTTTGGCAATTTTGAGGTCTCGTTCATGGTACTCTATAGCTTTCTGGAAATCTCCAATACTGTCATAGGCGTTGCCAAGATTACCGTACGTTTTTCCTTCTCCTGCCCTGTCTCCCACTTCTTTGGAAATTTTGAGATCTCGTTCATGGTACTCTATGGCTTTCTGGAAATCTCCAAGACTGTAATAGGCGTTGCCAAGATTACAGTACGCCCTTCGTTCTGCTGCCCTGTCTCCCACTTCTTTGGAAATTTTGAGGTCTCGTTCATGGTACTCTATGGCTTTCTGGAAATCTCCAATACTTTCATAGGCGTTGCCAAGATTACCGTACGCATTTCCTTCTCCTGCCCTGTCTCCCACTTCTTTGGAAATTTTGAGGTGTCGTTCATGGTACTCTATGGCTTTCTGGAAATCTCCAAGACTGTCATAGGCGTTGCCAAGATTACAGTACGCGCTTCCTTCTCCTGCCCTGTCTCCCACTTCTTTGCAAATTTTGAGGTCTCGTTCATGGTACTCTATGGCTTTCTGGAAATCTCCAAGACTTTCATAGGCGTAGCCAAGATTACAGTACGCTTTTTCTTCTCCTGGCCTGTCTCCCGCTTCTTTGGAAATTTTAAGGTGTCGTTCATGGTACTCTATGGCTTTCTGGAAATCTCCAATACTGTCATAGGCGTTGCCAAGATTACAGTACGCCCTTCCTTCTCCTGCCCTGTCTCCCACTTCTTTGGAAATTTTGAGGTCTCGTTCATGGTACTCTATGGCTTTCTGGAAATCTCCAATACTGTCATAGGCGTTGCCAAGATTACAGTACGCCCTTCCTTCTCCTGCCCTGTCTCCCGCTTCTTTGGAAATTTTGAGGTGTCGTTCATGGTACTCTATGGCTTTCTGGAAATCTCCAAGGCTGTAATAGGCGTTGCCAAGATTACCGTACGTTTTTCCTTCTCCTGCCCTGTCTCCCAATTCTTTGGAAATTTGGAGGTCTCGTTCATGGTACTCTATGGCTTTTTGGAAATCTCCAAGACTGTAATAGGCGTTGCCAAGATTACAGTACGCCCTTCCTTCTCCTGCCCTGTCTCCCACTTCTTTGGAAATTTTGAGGTCTCGTTCATGGTACTCTATGGCTTTCTGGAAATCTCCAAGACTGTCATAGGCGTTGCCAAGATTGCTGTACACTTTTCCTTCTCCTGCCGTGTCTCCCACTTCTTTGGAAATTTTGAGGTGTCGTTCATGGTACTCTATGGCTTTCTGGAAATCTCCAATACTGTCATAGGCGTTGCCAAGATTACAGTACGCTTTTCCTTTTCCTGCCTTGTCTCCCACTTCTTTGGAAATTTTGAGGCGTCGTTTATGGTACTCTATGGTTTTCTGGAAATGTTTAAAGTTAACATAGGCGTCGCCAATAGTACTATTCCCTTGTTCTTCTTCTGTCCTCTCCCCAACTTCATCGGCAATCTTGCCAAGATTACAGGTGGCCTCTGTTTGTCCTTTCGCAGCCATTCCACTAACAAATTGCAGATAAAATCTACGTACTGCTTTTCCAGAAGATAGTTCTAATTGTCACAATTTTTGCTTGCTTTGCTATTTCAGCTCTTCTGAAAAAAAAGTGTAGATATGCTGTGTTTTTTTCCGTTGATACCATTTCTCTTTATGTAAGATAACGTACGATAACGAAAATGAAAAGTAAAATTAAAACATTGAGTAAAAGCTTATTTCTTAGCTCTTTTATTATTCGTTTTTGTCCATGATCACAGTCGCATTTGGTTTGCCACAAATAGTGATCGTTCTACTTGCTTTTTTATCGTTGTTTCATGTGACTTGATAAACTGGGGTCTTCTCCTAAGAAAGGAAAAAGACGTTCTTTTTGGTGATCAGTGATCGAAATGAAAAAGAAACCAGATTTACCATTGTTTAAACATGGTGTATATTATGTATCTAGTCGTTGTACATTCATCTACCCTCCATTGAAAATACTACAGCTTTTGGCAACAAACTACAAATCGGGCCAGTAGGAATATTCAGAAAAATCAAATTTCGGAAAGTGAACTTATTTCTAAGGTTTAAAATCTCTTGGTAACGGAATACAAATGTACAGCAAACGAAAAGAATATATATTTCTATACCTCCAGTTATTTTAAGCTTGTGGAATTTCAGAAAACTATAATTATGGTTCATATAAAATAGGAAAGGCCCCCCTGACTCCTTGCCCTGCTCGGTTCCAGCTTAAGAGCGACGGTCAAGAAAAATCGAGCAAAATCTTAATTTTGTGGCAGGAGTTAAAAAATGAATTTGTCCATGGATAGCTTTTAGGTAGATAAGAAACCTAATGTAGATTGTTCCCGCCTAAAGCCTTTTATTTGTCGTTTTCGAGTGGAGTCTCAGACTTCCCTAATTTTTTACCTGAAATTTGCTAACATCAACTTTTCTCTTGTTTGCAAAAGAAGGCGGATGGAGAAATGTGGACACGTTGCATCAAAAATAAAATTATTTTTCTTTTACTAGAAGATACTTTCAGGGTATTTTTAAAATAGCGACGCTCGTCGTTGTGAAATAATTTAAAAATGAGAGATACGTTCTCAGGATACAAACAAAAACTTAAGTTCGTTACTCATTTTCGACGGCAATATTTAACATGTGATAGAACTCCAAATTCTCTTCATCCTATTTAAATCACACATTTAGACATTCATTTAAAACATACCTGGGAATTGGCTTGGGTTAGTTGAAGGAAATCTCTGCAGGTTGAAACTAAGGTCATAAAAAACGGATATTCTAACTTTTCTCGCAAATAAAAGGCTTTTTACGAGAACAGTTTACTTCAGATTACTTATCTACCTAAAAGCTATCTATTGACAAAAAATTGAAGGAAATCGACTTTTCAACTGCTGCCACTCGATGCTCGATACATCCTGACCGTCGCACTTTTTCTTAAAAGTCTAACTCGGTAGGTGCAAAAACCTGGGGAATTTTTCTTTTTTTCTATTTTTTACCTCCCATTTTCCTTAGTATAGCTCTGTTACGTTGATCTCTTGGAAATTCTTTGTGTCACGTCACTTACGAAGATTGCAAGTTCTTTGTAAATACATCCGTCCGAGGATGAGCTGGTTTAGAAAGACTTTGTATTCAAAGATTTTTATATGACTATGAGTATAGTCTGCCACACAGCCGTTTTTAGTGTCGTCACGAAACGCTGCGTTGCGTGACGACACTAAAAACGGCTGTGTAGTACGGACAGGTGAACCTCCATTATTAAGCGGCCACCCTCGGGATACCAGCAAGTGGCCGCTTAACGCCAGGGTTAATGGAGGGTAGCGCTCATGGCATATCAATAGAGGTTCGTCATAAACCATGTCATAGATTATCATAATCTTTCTTAGAAGAAAACCTTATTTTACAACAAACACACGATGGTCCACAATCGGTCGTCACCGTCTATTTCGGACTGTTTTCCTTCATCATATTCTTAAAATAAAGCCAAACATAGTAATCTGTCTGTGATTGATGGCCGGTTAACAGACGTGACAACAATGGAAAAACTCTCGTTGGAACGGTAAAAAGGTGGCAGCAATCAATTAATAAAGGTACCCGATCAATAGAGGTTTAATTTCCAATTCTTTTCTACATATAGAATTTGGAGGATGGCCGCTTAATAGGTGGCCTCTTGATAAAGGTTCAACTGTATACAGAGTGGGATGATAACCATGTATGCATAATAAATCAGTGAAATGGCTGAGATGAAATCCTACATGATCATGATGGGTACTATCGATGAAAAAGTCCCCTGCGAACTAAAGGATCATAGACAACAAGGCCTTATTAAACAGAGACATGCTTTGACAAACGTTTCCGCGAGATAAATGACCCGATGCCGTTCTAAGGTAAAGGAACCGAGGAGTTCTAGTATAACTTCAGCTAATACAATGCCTACCTCAGTTATAAATTTCCGAGTAGTCTTGATACTGTTGATAGTTCGCTTGATTTGTCACGTCGAAAAAGTCTACGAGGAAATCATATTTTGCAAAACAAGTCAGTCTACAAATCAAATGCATTTTCTTCACAAAATAACCGGAATTGCACAAAACTTACCTATAAGCAACAATCAACCTTTCTACCAAGAAACAAATTAAACCTATGGGATTTTTCCCTTCCTTTAGCTTTCAGTTTCATTTTGATCAAATTATGTCAACAAAAGTCACGTAACTTAGTGTTTCCAGAAATAGCTCCCGAAATGCAGCCATCCACGAAAAAAACCATATGACGGTTATATGCTTCTGGCTAATGCTTAATGCTCAAAATTTTTACTATTATGCTCTTAGGCCTGTTTCAAACGTCGTGCTACTGCCGTGCTAAGCTGGCTCGACTGTAGCTCGACTGCAGCACGACATTAGCACGACTTGGTTTCAGACGTCGAATTTAATTCACACAGTGACAGTCGAATGGAACGGCTGTTGCCAAAAACAAAATACAAAAATAAAGAAACGGTTTAGCAAACTTTTAAATATATTCTAATGTATTTATAATTCATGAATTGAGTTCGGCACGGCGGTAGCACCGCAAGGCTTGCCGTGCTACACGGCAGTAGCACGACTTGGTTTCAAACGCCGCGCTACTGCCGTGCTAAAGTCGAATTTAATTCGATCAATTGAGTGCGGCAAGGCAGTAGCACGACGTTTGAAATGGGCCTTATGGCCTTGCTAAAATGCTCGAAAGTTCCATCAATACATACACAATATAAACAGACACAAAATTTTTCAGTTACTATGCTTCTACCCGGGGGCTACTTTAGGAATTTCTGGGTGGGGATGTGCCACTGTGACCCTGGAACCCTTAACCTATACCAGAGCTAGTTCAGCTAAATTTTGCTCCCTTTACTAGAGTAAACTCCCTAAATCCCCTATCCTAGAGTAGCTGTTTCCCTAGTCTAAAATCTTCAACCAACTAATCAGTTTCCTGAAAAATGATACCCTATTCAAGACCTAAACGTTCTGATTTATACACCCTATCCTAGAGTAAACTGCTTGAAAACCATACCCTTCACAGCGGCACATACTTATATAGCCCCCGAGGAGGTTCTTTAGGAATTTCTGGGTGGGGATGTGCCACTGGGATCCTGGAACCCTTAACCTATACCAGAGCTAGTTCAGCTAAATTTTGCTACCCTATACTAGAGTAAACTCCCCAAATCCCCCCTATCCTAGAGTAGCTGTTTGCTGTTTCCCTAGTCTAGATAAAATCTTCAACCAACCGATCAGTTTCCTGAGAAATGATACCCTATTCTAGACCCAAACACTCTGATCACCCTATCCTAGAGTAAACTGCTTGAAAACCTACCCTTCACAGCGGCACATACCTATATAGCCCATATATGGCAGTACCCTCCCGGTATAGCCCATATATGGCAGTATCCCCCCCCTCCGGGCTTCTACTGGTTTAAGTTGGTTTCTTTTGTCTGAGCCATCCATACTGGAACATTGACTAGACCCAGGCTGTCTCTAGTTTTGGCTAAAACCTCTGAAATATGTATATGTTTGCCTGTTTCTAGGTGAATTTCATCACTCTAGACAAATTTTTCCTTTTTAATGATACAAAAATCTTGCTATAATGCTGGCATTGTGCTCGATGCTTTTGCCATGCTATTTATGCTCAAAATAATGCTAGCATAATGTGCCAAAGCCTAGAGGCTAGGGGTTAGCTGAATTTCAGGCGATTACTTGAAGTCAGATTTTCGACTCCCTCACCTGAGGGAGTAACTGAAACGACTTGAAGCAATCGTCTGAAATTTAACTAAAGAGGGGTCAAATTAAATCGAATAAACAGTTTTAATACGCTGTGGCTATATGCCCGCAGTCACATTATTTTCTAGAATTTGTGCAAAAGCCGTTTTCTAATTGTTTGAAAGTATTCCATCTTCATTTAGTTATACTACTACATGAGAAATTTCTGCAATTTGATTGGCTTAGAGCAGTGGTATTTCAGCTAAATTTGAGATACCTACATGTCAAAATTACAAACCTTTTGCGGTAGTAGTCGATAAACAAATAATAGCATGATTTGGACATGATATTTAGCATAAATACCACTCGTGATATTTCAAAATTGTCTCAAATTTCACTCGCCTAACGGCTCGTGAAATTACGTATAACAATTTTGAAATATCACTCATGGTATTTCTGCCAAATATCACTATTAATCATGCTATTACCTATACAAATACCAAGCGATCAGAAAAACAATATTAGAGTCACAGAGTAAAAGTCAATTGCATTTTCCTTCACAAAATAACTGGACTTGCCCAAAACTTACCTATGTTAAAAGCAACAATCAACCCTTCTTCCAAGAAACAAATTAAACGTATGGGATTTTTCCCTTCCTTTAGCTTTCAGTTTCATTTTGATCAAATTACGTTAACAAAAGTGACGTAGGTGCTTCCAGCCCGAAATGCAGCCATCCATAAAAAAGCATTAATTTCTGACGATTACTTCGAGTAGTTTTTACTCCCTCAGAGGAGGGAGTAAAAACGAATCGTCCGAAGAGTGGTCAAATTAAATCGAATAATATACAGTTATTTTGGCTATATGCTCGGCAGCCGGAAAGGGTCTTAAAAAAAACTAAATGCCCAGAAGTCAGAAAATCAGAGAAAATTTTCTAGAATTTCTACAAAATCCCTTTTTTCTAATCGCTTCAAAGTATTCCATCTTCATTCACAATTATCAAGCGAAAATTATCAGGAAAACAAGAATGGCTTCGTAGATGAGCGGTTGTGGTTTCTTGGGCATAGAGGAGTCGACGCTGTTTAGGGCCGGGGGGGGGGAAACTTGGGTATTTTTTGGGTGGGTATGTGCCACCCGGGACTCCAAATTGGCACCCCGTTCTACAAAAAATTTCCCCTAAAATTGATACCCCGTACTAGAAATGGGCAAATTTTTTAGACCCCGTTCTAGAATTCGCCCTAAAACTGATACCCCATTCTAGAAATGGGCCAATTTTTATACTCCGTTCTAAAAAGTTTGTAAATTGAAATAGCCCTTTTTTTTTAAAAAAAGATATAATTTTCTTTATTTGTTCGACTTATACATCAAATAAATGCTTCTTCATAATCAGCAATAATTTTAAACAGAAGATATAGCCGTGATCCACAATTTTTTATACCTCTGAAATGGATACCCCGTTCTAAATCAGGAGCTTCAAAATCACGACCCCGTTGGGCGGCACATACCCGTATAGGTAATGTATGGGAGTACCCCCGGGGTTTAGGGTTAGATGTGGCTAGTATGCATGCATTCTGGAGCTTAACAGAAGGCATTTTAACTTTCCAGCTCCGCATTCAGTTTGCCGGTTATTTATAGCCTGTGTAGATGTGAAATCGTGCCCATGAGTCACGCGTTGCTACTCACGAAATTTTTCCTCCGGCTGTAATAAAGTGTCGAAGCAGGGTCTGACACGCCGGCCTGCCATTCGCATGAATTTTTGGGGGACATTTTCCCTTTGCTTCTTCTCCAACCCCTCGACCCACCATCACTTTCCTAATGGTGGAAAAATTGCAACGTGGTTTCCCTCTGGTATTCGCCACACATCTCACCCTGGAATGTGTGGAGATCATAGGACAATATGGAAGGGAAAGAGCTGTAATTTGCTTTTGCATCAAATCTAAGTGAAAGAAAAATGAAAGAACGTGGAGCAAAATTCACTTCTCGCGAGAGCGCAGTGCTTCGCGGATATCGCTTTGTTTTCAACGCCAACTGGAAAGATGATGGTTTTGGTTACGCTAATATCACCCCAGACGAAGGTTCCGCGGTTCATGGCGCTTTATACATCTGCGAGAAGGGAAGCATATGTAAAATGGATCACGAGCACATTCATGAAGGCAATCGTTTTCACCGAGTGATCGTTAAAGTGGAAAAGAGAAACGGGGAAGTTGTAGATGCGATTGCGTACAAAGCGAATGAGGAATGTGTCAAAGGTGGGTTGAAGCTAAGCGAAACTTACCTCAATGAAATACTTGAAGGGGAGGATCTTCTTCCAAAGGAGTACGCAGCATACTTACGAACCTTGAAGGGTTAAGAACAAAAGGAGATAAATGACGACAAAAGTAGAACACAAAAGACTTCACAGAAAGAACGAAATCAGCAGTTGGGTGCCAAACAGACGTTCATTTGTTTGTCACGCAACGTTTCCCGTGCTTGTCACGCGATCATCCTACTACGTAATGGCCTGTGAAGACTCCTGGGATTTCTGGGCTAAAAATGAAACCAAAATACGGGGGGTACGCCTGCCTATTTGCCTAGGCTGTGCCACATAAGAATAATATTTTGCATAAATAAAAGACTGATCTCTGAGTGGCAAAGTCTAGAATAGGATAAATATTAGTTGCATTTTTCTTAGTTTTCTCCAACATGAAATAAAGTTTATACCCAATTTTCATTGTAAGGAACTCTTTAATAATTAGTATTACACTTTTTGTGTTTACTGTGTTACACCCACTAAGGGTAATATTAATATTGTAATCCAGACAACATCCTTCTTGGAAGGTTTCTGAGGATCCAAATAACAGTAAGGCAGGGCTGGCACTAAGATTTCAACTTGCTGGGTATATGCAATTAGTAGGTGGTGGGGAATTAAAGAACTAGCCAGGGAAGCTTGGTGGGTTTTGTTTTTCTTTTTTTCCTTATAAAAGTAGCCGGTGATCATGCTCATAGTAGCCCTGGCCCCCAGCCCTTGGTGCCAGTCCTGAGTAAGGGCAAGCTTCTTAACAACAATATCCTCATCCTTAAGACTGATTTCTTTTAAGGCTAGCACCTGGAAAATCCTAAAGTACTGGACTGATTGCTAAACAATGAATAAGTAACTGCACCTAGGCTACTAGGGATAATTATCAAAATTAATAGTATAATCACTTGCTGATTAACTTTTAAGTAATATATCAAAAACGAGTGCGAGGGCTTCATTGGGGTATCCAGACATCGAGAAACAGATGAAAGCACGAGGCTGAAGGCCGACTGCTGTTATCGTTTTGAGGTGTCTGGATACCCTGATGAAGCATGGAGTATGAGTTTTTGGTATAGTTTGTTAAACAAGTGGCTGACTATCATTATTCATTTATTGTTGTTTCGTTATGGTGATTAAACAATAGCTATAGTCTGAATGTGATAACAACCGTTTGGATGGAATGTATTATTTGGGAGTCATCCAACTTAATTATTTTAGTGTTTATCATATTCACTTTTTGTGCAACATGGATGAATCAAGTTCAACGTTTCAGATGCCCAAAACTTTTGACGAGCAAAAAGAGCTTGTTATCAATTCTGTTCTGAAATCTACAGTTTACAAGAACAAATGAGCGTTACAGATTTTTCTAGAATGGCAAGACTCGGATGCTTTACAGCCAATTGTCTGTGGCTTAAAACGTTTCCTGGTAGAGAAAAATGGTGAGGATGTATTAAATCCATTGGCTGTTAGTGACAAAAAGTATCATTTCAACTGATTTTGAAAGGTTCTATTTGTGCTTTGCATTTTAACTACGTGCAACTTGTGTTGTTTCTTCCTATAGTTTTGGGACATTCCGAATTACCCAACTATTCTGTAACATTCTTTAAAAGAAATAAATGTTTGTTGTTTGCATGAGACATTATTTACGTAGAATTAATTTATTCATGTCACATGATTTTTCTAGAATCAGTCAACATTTGGATAATGTATCCAAATCTTTAAAGATTTTCATCTACTTTTTCATTGGGTATCCAAACACATCCATGTGATGTAGTATACAGGTGTTGACTGGTGGGCTTGAATTATGAATTATTAATGAGCTTGAGAAGTCTTTATTCCAGATTCAGATTGCATAATATCTCACTTTTCCCCAAATGTAAGTGAGTAGGCCTCTGATCAAACATGGCAAACAAGCTTACTACATGTGACTGGCCAAGGCTATTTTTTGTGGACTGAGAGTCACCACCATTATACTATGATAATTTGATGGCTTCCTTTCCATGATTATAGCTTGCATATGTCAACAATGATGGCCACATCCCATTAAGAATCCAGTACATTTTATACAAAATCCAACACCCCTGAATTTTCAGACCCCTTTCCTCAGGGGTTGACCCTGACTTTTGGATCTTTAGGTGATTGCAGGCAGTCAACAGAAGGCTGGTATGTACTCTGTTGTTATCTTATCTCTCCATACTCTGTGATGCCGTGACTTGGTGGTCCCAGTCGATATACACCAACAGTTTGGTCCTTTGATGCTGTTACTAAATCTTTTAAGAAAGTTATATTAAGGAGAACAAAATGAAACCATAGTCAACCTAGGGAATGAGAGAGATTACTCTTCCTGTGGATTTTTAAGTGAGGATGTACCACTGGTATATCAAAGCCCTTACCCCTTTAAGCCCAATATCCACCTACAAATTCTCCAGACTGATCTCCATAAATATTCTTAAATTCTATACTGATGATGTGCTACCCGGGGCGAATCCAGGGGGGGAGCCTAGGGGGCCCCCCCCCTTATTTTTAAACCAAACTGAGGACTGAAAAAACGTTTTTTGGGAGACCAGACCACCCCCTCCTTATGTAAGGGTCTGGATGACCGGGTCCCCTCCCCCCCTTATCTCAAGGTCTGGATCCGGCACTGGCCACTACCTGTACTTACATCTGGGTAGAGAGTAGTGACACATCATCAGTATAACAGAATTTCTATGCTCGTTTCTCAGATATAACTTTGCAAAGAAACTGTAGGTGGCATCCTAAAATGTTGGTTATGTTATATAAGGCTATGAACAATCATGTCTGCTGAGCATTAGAAGTACATTTAAAATGCATATAGCTAAAGATACATTCATCATAAGGTGAAATATCAATGTCCTCCACAGCATCTGAGTGACAGAACAAATCCTCTACAAACTCGTGATGATCAGGAAAACGTCGATATCTGTAAGAACAAATTATGAACAATCTTGATCAAATTCACAGACCAAAAATATATAATTATATAAATTTAAGGTTGATTTTGTACAAATATGCAACTGGCTTTGGAAGCAGAATTAAAGAAACCCGGCTCATAATGTGTGCACAGTTCAACATTGTTATAGCAACAGACATTTCACAATTTCACTGAAATTAATAGGGCTGAATTTTTTTTGAAGAAAGTGACAGCTACAAAGTAAGATTTGAATTTAATTATTAAAAATAACAAGTTGTACCTAGGCCTACAGTCTAACCTCTGTTGATTGATAATTAAGCCTTCAGGGTAAGCGCTGACAGTAATATTAACAGATGTTCTGTTTTCAATGATTTACTGATAATTTCAGTAGTCCTGGCTAAAAAGAGGGGTGGCTACATAATAGGAGCTAAGTTTTAGACATTTAACAGTAATTGACATCTGGTTGATTTTAATAAGAATAGTTGCAAATTAATATTGTTAATGGCTAGTCAAGAGATCACTAATGCCAATTACCACAGAATATGACTTACTTGCGAACAGCTCCTCTGTCTCAGGCAGAAAATAGTGTACTTCCATTAGAAGTATACCTGAAAATACAAACTCTTCTCGTCAAAAATATTATTTTCACACTTGGTCTTACCAACCAAATGACTTTATAACATCACTTTGACTCTTAATAAAGGAAATTCTTAAATATATAAAATGTTGTTCATACTTGATTTTCCATAGTGGATCTTTCCCATGTTCTTTCATACGTTAGTGAACCCCAATTTCTGGGACAAAACTTGTCAAAAACTCCCCTCCAAACATGATGAGACCTAAAGGACATTGCACAACAAGACAGGGAAAAATTATCATTTTCGATTATTTTGAATTGCTATACAAGAGTCATTTTAATTAGGCCGAAAAAAATTTTTCATGAGTGCAGGATTGATTACAGTTCTTCTGTAATGTGAATTTCCTAAAAGAAATTTGTTTGCCTATAGGGTAAATTGAGAACAAAATTCACTAGCCTGATAACAATATTAAAATCCACTAGTCGGCTCACCGGGCTATTGGACATGACTTTCTTTGCACGCTGGTAGTTAATAAGACGAGTACATAAGCAGTGCCGTAGCCAGACCAAACAGCCAACCGACGAGGCAGGCGGGAGTTGCTAGGGGGGTTCGGGGGCATGCCCCCCCCCTCGAAATTTTGAACTTTAGTCTCTCGGAAATGCGATTTGCAGCGTTTTCTGGGCCTTTCGGTAACTTTTTTTCAAGTTAATTTAAGTGGAATTTAAAAAGCAATAATCAGAAACAAGCTACATAATCTGGGTGACCGTTAACCTCGCCAATGGTTTTGATCAGTATTTGTTCAAAAAAAATTGGAGTTAACGTATGTAGCCCCTTGAGATCGATGATATGATAATTTTTCATAGTATATTGACTGAATTGCTGAATTCTTTGTAATATCATGATGCGTTAAAAATATCCGATGATCGCTTATGTAAAATAAAAATGATCGGTGAAATTCGTCAAAATTTTACCGAGGCGAGTTCCTCGGTTGGTCTCATACTAGCTACGGCGCTGATAAGTAAATAATAACATAAGTAATTAGTCTTGTTACAAACAAGGATTGGGAAGGAGCACTTTTCACAAAGTGGATCTTGCACTTTTTGCCCAATAGGCCAAATCTGTGAGGAAGACAGGAGGATAAGCTAAACTATTTTGAAACCTAAATGTCTTGTTTGAATGACAAACTGATATGATAACAGAAACGTAAGAGCCTAAGTTATGTTTGGGGCTAAAATAATAAAAAATTAATGACTTAATTTTGGGGTCTTCTGTAAATGACCTAATAAATGCCCAAGGCGTCTAGTTAACTCTAGGGGTCCAAGTGGGGGCGTTTAATAGATACATGTAGGAGGCAATTTAAATGACAGAGGCATTTATTCTCGTAACTGTAACAAGCTCAACAAAACTAACTTGCTTTTGGCAAAAATATCAAGAGAGTTTAAAAATAGTGATATATCCACTCCATCAATTGATACGTCTAGGCCCTCTAGAGATCCATATCGCTCTTTTTCAAATCCCAACATCGATGTTAGAATCCACATTCGTTGTTATTGCGTAGCCATCATTAGTCTATCCTCATTTTTAACTTGACATTGAACAAGATAAAATACACATTTACCCTTGTTAATCAAGCAAGAAACTGAATGAATTGAATGATTTTGCACCTTTCTGCTTATTCCTAGTATTTTGGAGTAACTCTCATGGGGAGCCATCTACCTATTCTCGGTGCACTGTCACACAATGAAAAATAAAAATGCAAACCATTCAATACATAACATCTAGAATCTGGGAAATGAAAGAAGACAAATATACAAAATGTCTTGCCAAAAATCAAGTTTGTACAATATTTCAAATGCGAGATATTCGGAAAAACAATTAATTACCTAAATAATTATAAAGCTTTGTATGAAAACACGATGTGGGAGTCCCTTTCAGAGACACCAATATGGCCGCCGGATACCAACAGAAACATCTGTTTTCGAGTTTTCTTACTAATGTGTGAATTCTTTGCTTGAGGAACTCATAAAGATTAAAGTAATATTTATTCTGAGACAAGGAATGTTTAGATAGCAAATCTCCCAAACTTGGTAATTGTTTTTAACCCACATAAGAGTTTTTCTGGCCATCAGCTTAATGCCACGTCACGCAAAAGCCTGGAAATTCAAGCGTCCTCTCTCACAAAACGAAGAACCCCTTGGAACCAAGAAGAATCGATAGTTTCTTAGTTTGATTTTTAGTGACGTCATGTGCAAGCCAAGAATTAGACAGGGGCATCTAATAAAATTTCAACAGCGTTGAGGGGGTGTTTATGTAATTTCAACAGCGTTGAGGGGGTGTTTATGTAGAAGTGGACTTCTATTAGGTTAGTTACCGTGAATGATCATGACTTACAAATACAGTCTGCAAAGAAAGTCAAGTCCGATATCCTAGGGCTAGTGGATTTTGCTATCGCATCGTGCTAGTGAATTTTGTTCTTAACTTGCCCAACAGGCAAGTGCTGTGCTTTGGGGAAATTCAAATTACAGAAGGATTGTAATCAATCCTGCTAATCAAAAAGGGTTTTGGGGCTAGCTGAAATGACTTTTGGGCTAGCTAGTAAATTAATGCTTGCTACAGCTTGCTCGAATGGCAGGCTGTAAAACTGACTTTCTTTACACCCTGCAAATAGGGGCTGAATGAGCAGAAATCATAAAATTAATAGTACATACTTGATGATCCCACTTGAGTTCTTTCATGACAACCACTTGAGCTGCTGCAGCTGTTCCAGGGGATTTCTGTTTCCTTTTACTTTTCTTATCACCTAATAGATATGACAAATAGATAAGAAGAAAACTTGTTATACATGTAGCTATCACTAAGCGCCAATGAGCAACGATTTTACTTATACGCACACCCTGTTCAATTTGTTCAGAAATGTTATGAATTACCATAACTTATGAGAATGCATGCTGCAGGTTAGTCATGTGTCCGTCATTTACTGTCATGGAATGCACTCATGCATTATTCTGCGCACATGTTTGCTCAGAAACAATGCATTCTCTCTTCTGCATTACACCATAGAAGTTACCTTACACTACTATGTTACATCGGTCATGTTGAAACGCAGACCATGCAGACTACAGATTGCAGACCGTGCAGACTGTGCAGACTGTGCAGACTGAGTGTTACTTTTTTTTACTTGTACCTTAATTTGCTAGTAAAATTTTTACTATAGTTTCCCGAAGGAGCAAGCACGATGGAGGAAGGTAGGCTGTTTCTTTCTGTAACTGTATTATATGCCATGATTATTTAAATTTTTTTAGTAGAAGAAGCTTTTTCAGGTTAAGTGATTTAAAATAAACCCCTTTTCGGCTTCCTACAACGGCTACGAGAGAGACATTTCCTCAATTTCCTTGATTGTTGATGATTGTCTTTGGTTTCACTCTGTAATTCAAACCGGTGACTTGCTGTCATTTCTTCAAATCTTACAGATACCGATGTCATCGTTGCTAGCTCGGAAGATTCGGTAAGACTTTTGTTTATGTATTTTTTTATTCAATTCTCAAGAGTGTCCTTCTGGGCGAGTTTTCACTGGGGACTGACAATTGTATTTGCTCCATGCATTCACGCCAATAAGTGGTAGTGGTTTGAAACCGACAATCTTGTTCGAGTATCATGGTTCTTGTTTATGCAGTTCCAAAACTAAATAGTTCATTAGTAACAAATGTATTATTTGTACAACTCGAGGATGTGGAGGGGGTTTTAATGCGCATTGAACTAGATCCCCTGCCGTGTATTTTAGGTTTATTTTGTCTTAATTTTTATTGAATATTATGTGTGAGAAGTTTCAAGTCGCTGCCCTTCTTCTCTTAATTCTGACACTTATGGAACCGCCAAACACGTCGAAATCAGAATTATATTTATTTTTAGGTAGATATACTGTACTGTTGATTTATTTACACATTTTAAAGCAAGGCCCATCTCTCAAACGTCTCAGTTTGATATCCCGAGCTAACAATGATGACATTGGTATCTGTAAGATTTGAAGAAATGACCGCAAGTCACCGGTTTGAATTACAGAGTGAAACCAAAGACGATCATCAACAATCAAGGAAATTGAGGAAATGTCGGAAGCCGAAAAGGGTTTTATTTTAAGTCACTTAACCAGAGAAAGCTTCTTCTACTAAAAAAATAAATAATTGTGGCAATATAATACAGTTACAGAAAGAAACAGCTTACCTTCCTCCATTGTGCTCGCTCCTGCGTGAAAGCGGCACAGCTAAAAGCACGCGAAACTGCTTTTCCATCGGCCGGTAAACATGAGCCCGTGATTTTCTCATTTCCTACCCATGACCCTTGCAGGTACACATCAGTGCACATATGATGGTGATGCACAGTGCACATACATACATGTAATGAGAGGAAGCAGGAAACTATAGTAAAAATTTTACTAGAACATTAAGGTACAAGTAAAAAAATAACACTCAGTCTGCACAGTCTGCACAGTTTGCAGTCTGCAGTCTGCATGGTCTGCGTTTCAACATGACCGATGTTACATCACTTCGAGATTCATTATGCCTTGGAACTTTTGCACAGGGCTTTATTATGCTCTTGCCTCGCAGCTCCTTGGCAATAACTATCCAGGGCTTCAAAAAGTATAATCTTGCAGCTAAGACGACTTTTAACAATCTAGTGAAATGTTGCATATGCAGTTTACTCGATTTTACTTGAATCTTATCATCTGAAAACTGCACAACCTGTCATTACAACCTAACTATACTCTATGACCTCTACCTGAACAACTTTTACACAAATCCAGGAAAAAATAAATAATCAAAAAATTTTGACCAGGATTTGTTTAAACAAATAAACAACTCTTTTTCTATTCCATTACAAAAAATCATAGTTGTCTGCCAGATGATACACATGAATAACAAATTCTTTAAAAACAATACAAGAAATTTTACTTAAAGGATAGAATTTTGTCACTTACAGTACACACTAAATTACAGTACAACTGAAGTCAAGAATTAACATCCAATAGAGCAGTGTAACTCTATGCAAAAGCAGGCAAAGGCAGACCTACATTTTGAGGCCCAACTATCCAGAGCTTAACATAATTTCTGTAGCATGAGGAATCTACTCTGTAGGAGTATGGCTAACCTCTCTGGATAGGATACTTGCTCATCACAGGGACACCCTTGTTGCCATTCAACTTAATAAATTTACCAGAGCTTTGGAAGTTTTCAAAAACTTTATGAGCCAAAATACAAGAGAACTCCGGGACAGATCAGTTAGTGACAAAAGGGTGAAAACAGGTAAGATGTAACAACAAAAAGACCATTCTTGAAAAACCTGTTTTTCCAATTAGGTTTTTCCAGAAGGTTCTAGAAACATCTGTACGGTGGAATCTCGATTTAACGAAGGGCCAGGCGACTGGCAAAATGTGTTTACCATATCAACGAGGTTTCATTATATCAAGGTTCTTTTTCATATCTTACTACGACTGGGGTAAAGAAAATCGTTCGTTACACCGGACTTTGTTATACAGAGTTTAATTATATCGAGGTTCCACTGTAATATTGATTGTCTCTTTTGAATAAACAAACATTAACAGAAAAATGAAAAACTTGTCAATGTTGCTTATTTCCTCAAGCAGGGCTGTTGCTCAGATTTCAAGTTGTTTTTCCTATGTAGGCAGGGAAATGAACAGCAACAAATTTCTGTTGCAGGGCTCAAAACAAGTCCCATCCAGTAGTCCTGGTCACGTGGATTTTCTTGCTGGACAAGTAACTTTTAAGGCTCACTAACCCAGGTAAAAACAACTGATCCTCTAATAAAATCATTAACTAAGACAAGGAAGAGGTGGCTCTAACCAAGCAAAATATGAGAGCTGCTTGCCCCAAGGACAAGCTGGACTTCAAGATTTTTCAAACACTGTATTGGTTCTATATTCTATATTCCATTTTCTTATGAAAGTATCCAGGGATCATGCTCATAGTAGCCAAAGGGAATCCACTGTCTCAGGCTCTTATTGACAGAGATGCTCAAGAGTGTGTGTCTCTCAACAAACTTCACACAGCATGCCTCAGGTACCCATTTATACACCTGGGTGAAGAGACAAAGTGGACTAACGTTTCTTGTCTAAGGAAACAACATGACAGCAAGGCTTAAAACCAGACATACATTGTACAACGTTGAAAGAAAATTGGCTTCTTTACCTTCAGATCCTGTCCTAGACTTTTCTCCACTTTTTCCTTCCTTTTTCTTGCTTTTCCCAGATGACAATGAGCTTGCTGACTTGCTCTTTGCTTTCAGTTTTAAAGAAATGTTTCGCCTAACTGGCTGTGAGGTCGATCCTGGGGCTGCTCCCTCATGCTCCAATTCAAGATCTACCAAAACAACATAGAAAACTAAAAGGTTAGTTTCACCTTGGTACAATGTATAAAGAACTTTTTGTCATGGATTTACAAGTATTTTTCCAGGCACTAACAGAGATAATGTCTAGATCATTTTGTTAAAATTATTTTTTCTAATTACACTTGCATATGTGCTCAGGGAACTTTACGTTAACAAAGAAATAATTGTTTATTATACCAATAAGAGTTACAGCAAAAGCACCAAAATACAGGGGATATATGCAAAAAATACAGATACAGAGCACTAAGAATAGCTAGATTTAAAATAAATCATAAGCACTAACAAGATATGCTGAGCAAAAAATTAACAAAGTAAAGCGATGCCAGATCATTTTGAAAAAGCAATGCAAAAGTACAATTAGTACAAATTAAATCTTGGTAAACCTATAAACCTCAAAGAAAACGAAAAAAGCCGCCACGAGTAAGCTGTTCAGTGTCAAGTACTGTGAAATTCACAAGGAGCGGCTGATAAAGGGTCTAATGATCCCAATGGAAACTGAGCTAAACAACTGGTCAACAACTAAAAGAAATACATTTCATACTGATAGAATTTTGAGAAAATTCGTAAACCGAAAATGATATTTACAAAGGAAAAAGGTACATTTTTCATGGTTACTTATGAGAGTAGTGGCAGAAATTCTGCTAGCACTTGAACCCAATAATAAATTGAAGTAACCCTTAAGGATAGGTAATACTAGTGAGATTAGTTGAAATCAGAAGAACAACTCATCGACATACCGCTGCAAACCAGACCAACAATCACGAAAAAGGTGAAAATCAACGCCGCGTACAGTTGCAAACGTTTCATTTTCGTGAAATAATATCACCAAAGACTTAATAACATAAAGAAAACATTTTTTACATTGAATAGAGACAAATTAAGGATAAATTTAAGCAATAAGCCAGTGGGAAAGCACGCTTACCGTCCTCCATCTTGAATTTTCCTGTGCTTTAGGTTATGACCGCTGTACAGCTTGTCTCTTGATCGAGCCTTCGAAACTATTCCCCAGGCCTACTCCAGGATGAAAATAATTATTTCCCCTTTTCCAAAATCTTGGCCACCTATAACCACTATCTGTCTTTTCATTGGCTAAAAGCCTATAGCTAATTTTGGAAATCAGTGCAACCTAGTCTACAGAACCTACAGATTAGTTAGTTATCTGCTAGCGGATACCTGACTAATCTGTAGATTGCGTGTGCAATGCATGATTTCCAATAACTAAATCAATTCAGGTTCCTCAGCTTGAGACGACGGTGTTTGTCTTTTTAGAAATACGCATCACTTCGCATTTATCAGTGTTAAATCTCAATTGCCCCAATATTCCAAACGAGTAAGATCTTTCTGCCGAGTTCTTCCACATCTTGCTTAGTGTCCCTCAGTACCCTATCCACCTTCATATCATCTGCAAAGAGTCTTGTGCAAGACGTAATTCCTTGAGATATCCAAAATCTGGGTTTGTTTTTCTTTTGTTCAAAAGCATTTTCTCAGTTAACGGCAGCAGAATTCCGTATTTCTTTTTTTAGCTAAATTAGGGATTCCAAAGCCCAGGATTCCGGATTCCAAACTCAAAAATTTCCCCGATTCCGGATGATTATAAACTGTGAGCAGTCTCTCTTTTTCTTCCGATTTAGTGAGGGAAGTGCGCGCGCGCGAAAGACGGAAGGAAAGAGGCGAGGAACGTGCTCTCCTTTCTCGCGCCTTCATTTATGCGCATGTTCATTTGCTTGTCTCGCGCCTTTTGCTCGACGGACTATTAAGAAAAAAGAGAGACTGTTCGTATTCTAGGATGATTACCATACATGGGGTGCCAAATTCATAAAGTGGTGACTCATGAAGAGAAGAAAGGAAAGGGATCGGCACGAAGAAGGGAACGGAGACTCACACTCTCCTTAGCCTGCGTAGCTGGTGATTTAGCCGCGAGTGCTGTAGTTTTTTGGCGGCGAAGTCGCGTGAAGATTAGGGATTTTCACCTTTCACTCGTTTCGAATGGCAGGTCCGCCGCCAAGAAAGTACCCCAGGCACAATAATCCCGCCAGCTACGCAGGCTACACTCTCCTTCACGTCACTCCATGACTTTGAAACGCCTGGGACAGCTAATGAGCTAATGAGATGCAACTGTGAGCATCATCGCACACTAGAGCGATCAAGTGTGACTCATTTTCATCAGCGACCACAGCTTGGTATCAAACAGTCAAGGACACTGTACACCTATGGAAGAAACAGAGCTTTACTTTGCTTTTGGGTCAAATCTGAGCGCAAGAAAAATGCGGGAACGCGGCACTAGGTTCATCTCTCGCGAAAGCGCAGTGCTTCAAGGATTTCGCGTCGTATTCTGCATATGGAAAGACGATGGCTTTGGTTATGCTAATATTATCCCAGATAAGGAGTCAACCGTTTATGGTGCCTTGTACATCTGCTTAAAAGGAAGTTTAGCCAAGTTAGATGAACACGAAGCAGGGAGGCTTCGGAGAGTGAACGTACAGGTGGAACGAAAAAGCGGCGAAATCGTGGATGCGACAGCGTATCAAGCTTATGAAAAGTATGTTAAAGAGGGGCTAAAACCGAGCCAAATTTATCTCGATGAGATACTTGAAGGAGAAGATCTTATTCCTAAAGGATATGCTGACTACTTTAGAAACTTCTTGTGTGACAAAACTGAGAAGCAAAGACTGACGAAATCTTTTTAATTCAGTCAACAATTATAGAAAACTCAAGAGAACATCAAGCTTTGAAGTTTATCCGTTTAATGGATTGACTTATTATTGTATTTAAATTGCCACATTTTAATCCCGTTTATGTTTTGAGTGGTGAGCTGCTGGGGGTCACTTGGTCAGTTAGGGAAGGACCATTAGAAAAGTAATTGGGGGGTGGGGGGGGTTTTTTGCCTCGAAAGAATTTTTTTCTGGCTGGATTGCCTGTGCAAGAACTTTTTGGCTTTGATGTTTGTTTAAAAATACAAAAATGAGTGCTGCACGTGAATTTTTTTTTGTTTGCTAATTAGATCTACTGATTTTGTTGCCGTTCTGCCATAAGAAGTGATCTTAAACACCGGCACAGAAAAAATTCTTTCCTTGATTCAAGAATTTCGAGCAACAGTCTTTTAAACTTGCCACGTGTTCAAATTCCAGTATCGGAATATTATATTGGATTGGATCTTTGGATCCTGAAGTAAAACCTTGGATCCGGCGTAATGACTTTGGATCCCCAGCAAGAATTTTGGATCTCAGGAATAAAAACCTTGCATCCATTTGAAAAAAACTGTGGAGTCGGAAAAAAACAGCTATGCCGGATGATGAAATCCATGTAGGTTGGATGAAAACTTTGGATCCGAAATAAAATCTTTTATTTTATATTATTGTACCTTTTTTTACTTTGCTTAGAATGGTATTTCAGAATAATTCAGACCCATACTGAAGTAACTCCTGATTAGCTCGTCTCTCTCCGCTAGCTATTTCATGATGCAAATCATCACCGATAAAAGGCGGTAGGACGGCGCTTGATAAATGAATTAACGCAAATAGCACAGAGATTACTAGCAGAGCGAAACACGTGTGCGCCATGCTGCATGTTTGTAGATTACTTGCTTGATCTTCGAGGTTTAAAAAGATAAATTTTTCAGTCAAAGAAAACTATCGCGAGCTCGAACTTTCTCAGACAAAGTAAACTAAATCGCACGATAACTTGACGAAAAAAAAAATTGTAATGTCCTCTATATGGGCCACCGTAGATTCCTCATTGAACATGATGTACAGCCGTAGTAGAATGCGCACTGAATCCAGGTAAAACGTGGCTCATCAATTGCAAATAACTTTTGTTGATTGATAGTGATGGACGACTGTTAGATGTCAGATGTTCGATCAAACGCTGACCGTAGATGAGCTAACACATGAGTCACAACTCCCTCAAACTGACCCGTCTAAAACTCACATGGTAAAACAGAAAATGTCATAAAGGAAATAATAATAACCCCATCTGTAAGATGAAGTTGGTCAAAGTTTGACGTATCAATGACCGATGAGTCTCAACACAAGCTAAAGTTTCGTTACGTCCACGGCTAAGAGTCTAAGTCTAAGTTGACCAGAAATAAATTGCTGACGTTCTCTTCTCAGAGCTCCCTACAACTTTGCAACCGTACGTTTATCAAAACTCTTGAAAACATTTAGGGCCCGAGAAGCATTTTTCAAGTCGGTTTAGTAGCAAACGGGACTCGCGTTTCTGTCGAGATTGGGACTGGATTTTAAGGTTAACTAGCGTAATGTGTCGGGCGAGAAAGCGGTTAACACTTCACGCTAAATTTGGGTTAGGATTTTGCTTTGACGCTTTCTTGTTACATGCAATACCTATAAATTTTCTCTGACATCAAATGTCAGAGGAGCTATGTCATAGGGACTTAGACGTTTTTTTTCGTCAAAAGTGCCTCAAAATAAAATTGCCGCCTACCTTCTCCAAATAAATAAACACTAAATGTTATTTCTAAGAGGAAAATATAAAGGGAATTTTAGCAGCAAAATAGTGACGGTCTTAAGGAGGTTTCTGTGTAAGTATGTATGAGGCAGCAGAATTCCTTTCAAGTTTAAAATAATCGTTTGGTCATCAGAGTAAACTTCAAGTTAAATGAGTCACCAGTGCGAACAATCCAATAAAAGCGCAGTTTCTGATTATAAGCCCTTACTAATAGTCTCTAGCCAACCCTACCCTACCTTATACACTACTCGCAACCCTACTTGGGAGGAGTTTGCCTTTTGGTCGAGGGTCGAGGGTCGAGGGTAACTAGTCGAGGGTCGAGGGTAAATGGTCGAGGGTCGAGGGTAAATGGTCGAGGGTCGAGGGTAACTAGTCGAGGGTCGAGGGTAAATGGTCGAGGGTCGAGGGTAACTAGTCGAGGGTCGAGGGTAACTAGTCGAGGGTCGAGGGTAAATGGTCGAGGGTCGAAAAATCCTCCACAATTATTTCTGTATTTTTTTTCAATTTAAAACCTAAAATTCCCAAATAAAGCAACCAAAGGAAAGAAGCGTGACAGGAAGTTCAATAAATACCATAATACCATTAAACTGTTGACTGAGAACTTTGAAGCAGGATCTCAGCTCTAATTTTCTTTAACTATAAGCTGGGTGGTAAGTAAAAAACTCCACCCTGTAATATTATAATAAAGCATGTAGACAAACGGGTAACCGGAAAAGATTCTGCAACAGGTCAGCTAATACACAGTCAGGACTCAGGACTAGTCAAACACGTATTATCATCCCATAGCGGCTCATATAACCAAAAAGAATCCGCTTATTTCCGGCCAAGTTTACGTCAGGTATGAGCTTTACAACTCATTGGATGATGACCAGCGCAATTACGTCAACACGCTTAACAGCCTAAATATTTTTTTAAGTAGGCTTTTAATTGAATGGGTGTAATTGCCGCATGCCTGCGGTATTTCAAAATTTCACGAGGAAGAGGCAAAACAACGGTACTTCTTGTACCGAGGTTTGCTAAAATTTTTGGCGATACACCACTTCAGCTTAAGCTTTATTTCTCTGGAACTGCATATTAGGAGTAACCAATTAACTCTTTAACTGAGTCGATAAAGCTTATTGTCATGCTTATTCAGTTGCGTGATATTTGCAGTTTCAAGTTTCGTTTTCCGGAGCAATCGAAAATGTAGTGGGTCTGGGATATATACCCCTTAAAAGTACCATTGTTTCGATCTCTTCCATTACTCCTCCGTACTTCGCTTTCATTTCGGAATTTCAAGAGGCTTTAAACCGATGGTGTGAATTTCTTGTTAGTATTTGCTATAGTTGTTTGCCAGCCTGTGAAGTCTGTGAATGCGGCATTTGACAAGTTGTGTTTATTACGTTGATATCGTTGAGTTTTCCATGTTTTTGTCTTACAGGTAGTAATTAGTAAAATAATCACGCTGACCCAAGTCTCACATAGGACAAAACTAGTGGACGTGGGAAATATTAGATACAAACAGTGAAAGTTACCAGATTAGCAGCCTTTTCATAAGCGAGTGAAACGTTAGACAAGAAAACCATTGGGTCTCTGCTTTCAATATTCAATATTATTTATTCGAGTGTTACAACGATACATGATGCACCTGCCACTAGATGTTAATGTAATATCACCTTCATCAACGTGGGATTCTAAAACTTATAAACAACACAAGACAAATAAAACAAGCACCGGAAACTCGAGTAAACACGAGCCTACTTGAAAATTTGATTTGACGACGTTCAGAAATAATTGTGGAGGATTTTTCGACCCTCAATTAGTTATAAGCGAGTGAAATATTAGACAACAAAACCATGTGTGCTATGAATATTCAATATTATTTACTCGAGTGTTACAAAGACAAATGATACACGTGCCCCTAGGTGTTAACGTAAAAATAAAACAGGTACCGGAAACTCGAGTAAACACGAAATTTTGATTTGACGACGTTCAAAAATAATTGTGGAGGATTTTTCGACCCTCGACCATTTACCCTCGACCCTCGACTAGTTACCCTCGACCCTCGACCAAAAGGCACACTCAACCTACTAAGTGCGCACCATATCTAGTTCAATCATACACATAATACAAGCAACACCTTTGAAGGGTTTGTTATCAATTATTTTTTGCCGAAAACGTTTTATCCCAGGCAAGATCAAGCAGAAGGGCGTAAATCTAAGCTCTCTATGCAAGTTTAGGACCACTTTTACAACATCGACATTGACATCGGGGACGAAATCGTAATGTATATATTTTGGCACATTTATTTACCAAGACGCACACATACCCCAGGGGTTTAATGGATCTTTTACAGTATAGTTCAGTTTAGGGGTAGGAACGTCGTCCCTTTAAACAACCTTCCTTTGTACCACTTAGAAACTAGAAACCTGAAAAGGGCATAAAGACGGGAAACGTACTGATTTTCAATGTAAAATGTCATGCGACAAAAATATTCTGGAACTGAGGAAGGTTGTCCATTTTAATCGTGCAAGGATTGCAGCTGGTTTGTACTGCTTTCATATTTGCTGGAGGCTGAATTTAGCTTGAATTTCTTATAACAGGTAGACAAAGATACAGCCAAAACTCTATTAACCGGACTCCAGCCATTCCCAGAGCTTCTGACGTTTAATTGGTGAAGTCGCAGTAACGGAATGAGGCAATATCAAAACCACAGGATGTGCGTCTCTCAAAACTGGGGGAAACGTTTCATGCCCAAAGATAATTTTTCAAGTTTGTTTTCTAGCACTTTTCCCAATTTATTTTTCCATTTTATAGCCGGGGCTTTCCTAAAAATAGTCAAAAAATGTTAGAAATCCGATTATTTTTAATGATGTAAGTCTTTCGGGAGTCTCGAGAAATGCGGACCTGTGATATAAACGTAGATCCGTGGTTTAAACGAAGTAGAGGGGGAAAAACCCCTGGTATCCATTGCTTGCTTTAACGGTAACGTCTTACCTCATGTATGAGTACACTTGTTACTCTTGCTACAATTTCTACGCTTGCTAGCTACACTTGTTTCGTTTGCTATACGCTTGCTACGATACACTTGCTGCGCTTGCTACAGTTCATTTGCTATATTTACTATCCTTGCTACGTTTGCTTGCTACACTTTCTGCCCTTGCTATGTTGACTACGCTTGCAACGCTTTTTGAAGTTGCTACGCCTGCTACATTCAACAGGTGGTATCAATAGACAACCCTATATCAGAAACGTTGTCTAATAAGGAATCCTATTTATTTTTTTATTTTATCTAAGTTGATTCAATTTTCCATTTCGTGTAAAAAACTTATTAACCAAGATTTCGATCAGCCAATCAGGACACCTCTTCAGTGAGGTATACCACATTTGTAGGCCAGTGGTTAATAACCTTACGCAAGAAGGTATACGTTCCTTGTCAGCATTACAATTAAGTTCCACATCATTGCTTTGACACTTATTATAGACACCAGTTTAGATACGCAAAACGATAAATTTATTTAGAGAAGTTAATTTTTATAGGTACAATTTAGGTCAGGTGTAAAACGTATTCTCTTTACAGATGTATAATTAAAAGTCAAGTAGACTTAAATCAAACTTGGAAATTCTTTTTTCTACATAACAGAGATCAACGGACTCTTCAATTTGTTTTGACCAGGCACTGAACAATTACGCAGTTTAATCAGTTCACTAGTTAGTTGTCTTTCTTTTTTCTCTCTGGCTTAACCTCTTGTATGTAAAAGGTGTCGATAAGAGAAAACAGAAAACTTGATGGTAAAAACAACGTGGGGAACGCAAAAAAGCCTGGGCTATGAAATAGAAATCCTTCATCTATCAAAAAGACAAGTAAATGTAAAACTGCAATCATTAGTGATTTAACATAATGACTGAACAGGGAATTTGACTTTAGTATTAGAATGGTGACCAATCTAGACACCAATCTGCCAAAAGAATTAAAAACTACAACTGTGTAAATAGTATAACAGTGACGAACTATATTAAATTGCTAGTCTAAATTGCCTCTGTCCAATGTGGTATCAATGAAAATAGCAGAAATTGACTACTGATTCCTGATATTTTTCAGGTGACTGTAAAAGAAGTTTCAAGTGCACACGACTAGTCGTAAAATAAGCTACGAAACGTACACTGTCAGTTTCAAACTACGCAAAGCTTCAACTTATTTAGCAACAGCATTTAATTTTCTCTTCGGGATAAAGTGTTCCTATTCCTGCGAGGAACGCTCCACCTCAAAATTGCGACAAAAATCAAGAAACTGACTTCAACTTCAGATAGTTAGGAACTGCTTCACTGCATTCTTCATCATACCTATACGACAAAAACAACAACAGCACAAAGCAACATTAGCAAGCTAACAAAAGAAAAGGATAGTGATTTCATCTGGCGAGGCATAACATTTTGACAACTGACTTCTAAGAGCGCGCTCGATTGATCGTACTCCGGAATAAGAATACGCAAAAATTTTGTTACAAACCTCTTCTACAACCTAATTTTTGAACCATTTTAAGCTTATTTAGACCAGAATGCTTCATTACCAGCAGTTTTGTAGATATTGAAGCACAATTTAAGACAGAACAAGTGATTTCTAGCGAGTGACTCCATTTATTTTTATTTGAGACGCGGAATACGGTGAATCGAACACGCCCTAAATCTATTAGTCAAGAGCAAAGGGTCTTATTAAAACTTCAACCAATGATTAGACTTATTGCAGATTTATATAAACTTGCATACCATAAATTCTACATTAACCCCCCCTCTCTAATAGGCTCCCCTTTTCAGAGGAATTTTAAACCTCCTATCTCTTTCCAGCATCCTCTCCCTATTCTTAAATAATAGACGGATGATAGATGTATTAATTTATCACGACTGTAACATTTCAAGTGGACTGATCATCCAATATTCATGAGCTGAAAGTTCGCATTTGATTTTGATCTTCGGCTTGATGACCTCCGACTTCGTTTGCCTGAGCTTTTCCACTTTCGGTTCTTATAGTTCTTTACGGGGAATGGATATCACAATCTTCCCTTAAGTAAATAAACCCCTCCCCCCTCAAGAACGTTCTTGAAATAAATAAACCCCCGGAAGGCTTAGTAGAGGATTTACCATTTGTAGGAGACTTGACTAAGCGACCACCTTCCGTAAAATAAGGGACCAGAAATTTGATCTTCGCATTTTGGGTCGTCGCTTACGTCAGGTTCGACTGTAAGTTGCTGTGGAACGAACTCAGACGAGGCCACCGCGGACACTTAGAAATGTGAAAAAATCATGAGCCTGGAGCCTAGTGTTTATCTGCCAAAGAACTACCAAAGTCAGACACCTTTGTTGTTGTGAACTTGACATGTGATTGGCAGATTGACGCTACGTGGCACCGGTTGAGTTCGTTGATCAAAAAAATGGCAAAAATAATTCCTTGCTAAAATTACGTTTCATAAAGCACGTAATATGATCCAAGGTTTAAATATATCACAAAATACCTTGCTATTTATTGGATGCCCTCAAACTCGAGCGTTACATCATCACCAATGAGAACAAAAGGTGCCCAGTACTTCAATGCGTTAAAGCGGTCAGATTCTCTCATGGATTTCATGGCTTTATTTAGAGCCTCACTGGCACTTCGTCCATGGACTAGTTGTTGGTAGAAAACTTTCATGAACTGCATAGTAGCTTCGTCGTCGATCGCCCACAAGGACACCAGAACAGAGCGAGCACCAGCACCTAAAAATGCCCGTGCAATACCGACCACACCCTCAGATTTGACTTCTCCCCGGGCACTATGACAACAACTAAGTACAACAAGTCTTGCCCTAATTTGCGCCTCTAAAACATCTTTCATAGTTAAGAGGTAATCCTCCTTGGCTGGATTCACGGATGAACGTGTTGTGTTTGGGGCCAAGGCAATTTCTCCTGTTTCCATTTTACCGTGAGCAGCAATGTGCACCAAAGCAACCGAGGAGATACGTGTTAAGACTTCATCTTTTGTTGCCTGCTTTCCAACGATAGGTTCAGTTTGAAGAATTTTCCCAATCATCTCCACTTCCTTTTCAGCCCACTCTAACTGTTCTAGCGTCATTCCTTCGTAAACTACCTCCTGTACCCACGGATCGCCGACAAGAAGAGCGCCAGTCTTGCTGTGCCAATCTGCTGGACAATTTTGGATTAATTGCAGACTAGAAAGTGAGGGAAGTAGGCGAATTCTAAAAGTTTCGCAGAGGAACTTTGATTCCAAGTCCATGAAAGCAGCATAAGGGGCCAGACAAAGAGGTCCTTGTGGAACAATCACAAGCTCATCGCTTTGGAGTAAGTCTCTTATAGGGTCCATAACAACATTGTAAAATGTTTGCAATGACTTTGTCTCAAAAGATGAGGAATGAGACCTTGGCTTACTGGATCTTTTTTCCGCTAGCTGTTTTTCGGTCGGGTTCCTTAATGAGCGATCTTCACAGTTAACATCAGCTCTCACACCTATTTCTTCATGTACAGTCTCCAATAGAGACTGAAAATAGGTTGTGACGGAGATATCGATCTGAGTTCCTCTAGTTTTGATTTCTTTTCCTTTCTCGTTCACCCAGAGGACTATTTCTCCCTCGTTGATACCTATAAAAGCTGTATTTGATGGTAGGTAACTAAGAATGTCAGTTGTTGTTGCAGAGAGTGTTCCTATTTCTGGAGATAACCCTTTTAACCCATATTTGAACTCCAAAAGATCATTTAAGGCTTGCGCACGTCCATGATCAGCTGTTAAAAGTGCCTCAACGACTTTACCTTCCTTCAACTGTAGCCCCCATAGCTTCAAATTAATATCATTATAAGTACTCCCAAGACTAATCTTCCATTCGTCATTAGATATGAGATTTCCCCTGATATGGTCGAAGGCAATGAGACTATTCTTATAACAGTGAACCGCTATCTGGAAATCTCCAAAACTGATATGGGCGTTGCCAAGATTACAGTACGCATTGCCTTCTCCTGCCCTGTCTCCCACTTCTTTGGAAATTTTGAGGTGTTGTTCATGGTACTCTATGGCTTTCTCGAAATCTCCAAGATTTCTAAAAGCGTTGCCAAGATTACCATACACTTTTCCTTCTCCTGCCCTGTCTCCCACCTCTTTGGAAATTTTGAGGCCTCGTTCATGGTACTCTATGGCTTTCTGGACATCTCCAAGACTGTCATAGGCGTTGCCAAGATTACAGTAGGCTTTTCCCTCTCCTGCCCTGTCTCCCACTTCTTTGGAAATTTTGAGGTCTCGTTCAAGGTACTCTATGGCTTTCTGGAAATCTCCAAGACAGTTACAAGCGCAGCCAAGATTACCGTATGCTTTTCCTTCTCCTACCCTGTCTTCCACTACTTTGGAAATTTTCAGGTGTTGTTCATGGTACTCTATGGCTTTCTGGAAATCTCCAAGACCGTAATAGGCGTTGCCAAGATTACAGTACGCTCTTCCTTCTCCTACCCTGTCTCCCACTTCTTTGGACATTTTGAGGCCTCGTTCATGGTACTCTATGGCTTTCTGGAAATCTCCAAGATTTCTAAAAGCGTTGCCAAGAGTACAGTACGCTCTTCCTTCTCCTGCCTTGTCTCCCACTTCTTTGGAAATTTTGAGGCCTCGTTCATGGTACTCTATGGCTTTCTGGAAATATCCAAGACTGTCATAAGCACTGCCAAGATTACAGTAGGTTTTTCCTTCTCCTGCCCTGTTTCCCACTTCTTTGGAAATTTTGAGGTTCCGTTCAAGGTACTCTATGGCTTTCTGGAAGTCTCCAAGACTGTTATAGGTGTTGCCAAGGTTACCGTACGCTTTTCCTTCTCCTGCCCTGTCTCCCACTTCTTTGGAAATTTTGAGGTGTCGTTTATGGTACTCTATGGCTTTCTGGAAATCTCCAAGACTGTTATAGGCGCAGCCAAGATTACAGTACCCTTTTCCTTCTCCTGCCCTGTCCCCCATTTCTTTGGAAATTTTGAGGTGTCTTTCATGGTATTCTAAAGCTTTCTGGAAATCTCCAAGACTACCATAGGTGTTGCCAAGATTACCGTACGCTATTCCTTCTCCTTCCCTGTCTCCCACTTCTTTGGAAATTTTGAGGTGTCGTGCATGGTACTCTATGGCTTTCTGGAAATCTCCAAGATTTATAAAAACGTTGCCAAGATTACCGTACGCTTTTCCTTCTCCTGCCCTGTCTCCCACTTCTTTGGAAATTTTGAGGTGTCGTTCATGGTACCCTATGGCTTTCTGGAAATTTCCAAGACTGTCATAGGCGTTGCCAAGATTACCGTACGCATTTCCTTCTCCTGCCCTGTCTCCCACTTCTTTGGAAATTTCGAGGTGTCGTTCATGGTACCCTATGGCTTTCTGGAAATCTCCAAGATTATCATAGGCGTTGGCAAGATTACCGTACGCTTTTCCTTCTCCTGCCCTGTCTCCCACTTCTTTGGAAATTTTGAGGTATCGTTCATGGTACTCTAAAGCTTTCTGGAAATTTCCAAGACGGTCATAGTCGTTGCCAAGGTTACTGTACGCTTTTCTTTCACCTGCCCTGTCTCCCAGTTCTCTGGAAATTTTGAGGTTTTGTTCATGGTACTCTATGCCTCTCTGGAAATCTCCAAGACAGTTATAGGCGCAGCCAAGATTACCGTACGCGTTTCTTTCACCTGCCCTGTCTCCCACTTCTTTGGAAATTTTGAGGTTTCGTTCATGGTACTCTATGGCTTTCTGGAAGTCTCCAATACTGTGACAGGCGCAGCCAAGATTACCGTACGCTTTTCTTTCTCCTGCCCTGTCTCCTATTGCTTTGGCAATTTTGAGGTCGCGTTCATGGTACTGTAACGCTTTCTGGAAATCTCCAAGACCGTAATAGGCGTTGCCAAGATTACAGTACGCTATTCCTTCTCCTGCCCTGTCTCCCACTTCTTTAGAAATTATGAGGTCTCGTTCAAGGTACTCTATGGCTTTCCGGAGATCTCCAAGATTTGTAAAAGCGTTGCCAAGGTTACCGTAAGCTTTTCCTTCTCCTGCCCTGTCTCCCACTTCTTTGGAAATTTTGAGGTGTCGTTCATGGTACTCTATGGCTTTCTGGGAATATCCAAGACTGTGATAGGCATTGCCAAGATTACAGTTCGCTCTTCCTTCTCCTGCCCTGTCTCCCACTTCTTTGGAAATTTTGAGGTCTCCTTCATGGTACTCTATGGCTTTCTGAAAATCTCCAAGACTGTCATAGGCATTGCCAAGAGAACAGTAGGCAATTCCTTCTCTTTCCCTGTCTCCCACTTGTCTGAAAAATTTGAGGCATATTTCAAGGTAGTTTATGGAGTTCTGGAAATCTTTAAAGTTGACAGAGGCGTCGCCAATTGTACTATTCCCTTTTTCTTCCTCTGTCCTCTCTCCAACTTCATCGGCAATCTTGTTGGTGTTTCCAAGATTACAGGTGGCCTCTGTTTGTCGTTTCTCAGCCATTCCAATAACAAACTGCAGATAAAATCTACTGCTTTTCCAGAAGATAGCTCTAGTTCTCACATTTTTTGCTGGCTTGGCTATTTTAGCACTTCTGAAAAAAAGTATAGATATGTTGTGGTTTCATTTTTCCGTTGATACTATTTCTCTTTATGGAAGATAACGTACGATAACGAAAATGAAAAGTAAATTAAAACCTTGAGTAGAAGCTTATTTACTAGCTCCTTTATTTTTTGTTTTTTTCTATCATAGTCGCATTTGGTTTGTCACAAATAGTGATCCTTCTACGTGTTTTTCATCGTTGTGTAATTACGACTTGATGAACTGGGGTCTTCTCTTAAAAAAACAGAAAGATTCTTTTTGGTGATAATGAGGCAAAAGGAAAAAGAAAACAGATTTACCATTGTGTAAACATGGTGTATATAAATTATCTATCTACTCGTTTTACATTCATCTACCCTCCACTGAAAATACTAAAGCTTTTGGCAACAAACTACAAACCGGGCCAGCGGGAATATTCAGAAAACTTAAATTTCGGAAAGTGATCTTATATCTGAGGGATAACATCTCTTGCTAGCGGAATACAAGTGTACAGCAAATGAAAAAAATATGTATTTCTTTACCATCAGTTATTTTAAGCCTGTGAATTTTCAGAAAATTTTAGTGGCTCATATAAAACAGGAAAGGCCTCCCTGACTCCTTGCCCTGCTCGGTTTCAGATTAAGAGCGATGGTCAGGAAAAATCGCGAACAATCTTGATTTCGTGGCAGGAATTAAGAAAATAAATTCGTCCATATATAGCTTTTAGGTAGATAAGAGACCCTAATGTAGATTGTTCCCGCCAGAAGCCTTCTATTTGTGGTTTTCGATGTCGGAGTCTCATACTGCCCTATTTTTTTTACCTGAAATTTTTTTCACATCAGCTATCCTCGTGTTCGTAAAAGAAGGCGCATGGAGAATTGTGGACACTTTCCATGAAGGGAAAAATTCGTTTTCTTTCACTATAAGATACTTTCAGGGCTATAGCGAGGCTCGTCGTACTGATTAAAAATAATTCAAAAATAAGAGAAAGGTTTTCAGGATAACAAAAACTTTTAAGTTTTAAGTAACGAGCTTAAAAGCTCGTTACTCATTTTCGACGCAAATATTTAACAAGTGGTATAACTCTAAATTCTCTTCGTGCCATTTAAATCACACATTTAGACATTCATTTAAAACATACCCGGGAATTGGCTTGGGTTAATTAAAGGAAATCTCTGCAGGACACCATCGAATTTCCGGAATTTTCATGGTAAGCTGGTGGTAATTGTGTAAACACTTCCAATTTCGAAACGCACAAATTAAGTAGATATTTAAACACTTGAGGCTCGTTTTTCGTACTTCTTGTAGGTTTCCCCATTGCAAAGTTGCTTACAAGAGCGAGGTAAAAAGGTCAAACTAGGTCAATTTTAGCCATTTTGAAATCCGGCCACCAGCCAGTGACTTCGGGTGACAATCTCTTCTGTGACTGCACGTGACATAACGTACGTTTCAAGAGGCGGAGCCGTCAAAATGATAGTCACGGTAGTAGCACAACGCCACCCTTGGAAGAGTAACATTTCGATGCAAACAGTGTTTTGAAGAAGAAAAAATCAAAAGCGCCAGAGTTCTGCTACTCATTTTTTATCGAAAAATAAGTACTTTGACAATGGTGATTCACTAAGGATGACGGAACAGGAGGATATTTCGCCTTGTTACATTATGAAACAAGAAATTGGAGCCGTTAACAAAAGTTCTTTTTATCACGCTTCGCTTAGTCGAACTTTTCATGTACCGAACCTAATTCCTTCAATTAAGTGCATGAAAAGATCGACTTTGGAATCAATTAAGTTCGATATCCCTAATTTGGGTCGACCCAGGAATTAAGTTCGAGTCGTCTACATGGGAATTTCGACTGTGGAGCGACTTCGTTTCAAACGTCAAACTTTTCATGCGCATTATGTTAACGTATTTTCAGCGCTTATCACTGGCTTTTTCACCCGTGAGCAGACAAAACTCACAGAATCGTGATGACCGTTGACCTTCCCTTAGCAGCGTTCTCGCAGTGGAATTTAAACTGAAACTGAAACTAGTTTTGGCCGCCATGTTGGAGGGAAACAGTATGCCCTCCAACATGGCAGCCAATACAAATCATACTACTTTGTTGAAAAATCAAAGTGCCATAAAATATCTCCCTTAAATGAGTTTTCTCTCAAATATCGGGTGTAAGATAATTTTTATTTGCTCTGTCAATTTTTGGCATCAGCAAGATTCCAACTCACATAGGACACAAAAGGGGGGTCATTGTGCCAGGCGTTCCTAGCAGAGACCAAGGAAGGATGTTACTAAAACGGGGAACGGGGAGCGGGGAACGGGGAACGGAAGTCTGGGAACGAGTTGTCAGCGGAAACCTCCATAAAAATCCAATATGGCCGATGATCGATGATAGAGAACCATCGAAACAAACTCAACTGATAACGGCGTTATTTTACTTGAACTATATGCTCATGAGGTGCTTGAAATAATACGGAGGTAATAACTTCATGACGTTTTTCACCTTTTTACGTTTTACTAAACAATTATCCGTAGGAAACAAAATATGCTCCAACAGCAGTTGAAAGAAGCCAATCGGGAAAAAAAGTCTCAAAGCACATGTACAGCCATATTTGGAACTCAAGCGAATCTATACTGAGTCTAACCCACAAAGCAATGAACTACTTTTCCATGATAGATAACATACATCGAAGTAGTCAAGTAGCTTGTGTGCAGACTTCTTCTATTTCCTTTGATAGAGATGACTGCTTTGAAAAATGTTATTGACCACGTCATCACATAATTAGTAAGACTACTTTAACAATCTGGTTCTGCTTTTAATATTATTAGATCCACTACACTGCAAGCATTCACGATATTGAAGTGTTTCACTAACCCATGAAAATAAAATAATATCATTTTATTATTTTGTGAAACAATTTGTTTCAGGTCAGTTTGCCCAGTATAGACCAGTATAATGACCCTAATGGAACCTAATTCACTCATTATCCTCACCCTAATCAGTAACTGCTTCAAAGTCGTACAGTGGCCATTTGTCTTTCTGCGACATACCCCTGACGACCATTTCCTGGATCAAAACCATTGGATTGCATTCTCACTCACTGCAGATCCTCAATTAACCTCCCGCCCCCCTAAGAATGAGATCCCAAACCCCTCCCTTTTGAAGAAAAATGTTGTAAAATAATCAAAGTACCTCTTCATGGGCACGAAACGTTTGGTGCAATTCATACCATACAATATCGCTGTATCAAGTAATGTTCTCGGTGCAGGAGGAGGGGGTACTATGGCCTAAACAGAGCCTGAAGCCTTTTTCAGGCTTCACTTACTGATGAAAGGGAAGGGGTTTTTATAGTTGAAGTATATGAAAGGGACCAAAATGAGATCAGTCACAGATGCAGTTTATGGATGTGAGAGACAAGAAAACCTGTTTTAGCTATTTATTCATATTGTAAAGATGGTGTATTTACAGCAGTTAAAAAGGGATGCAGCATTCAAAATTAGGTATGTGAAAGGGGTATCATTTGTCACTAGAGGGTATACAAAAGGGGTACCTTTTCTGTCTAAAATGACACATACAAAGGGTAAAGGGTTGGTCCCGTCCCTGGGGCAGAGCCTCTTTGGTGAGTACTCCCCCCTCTGGGTTACTGTTACTCTAGTCTGATTCTTCTCTTTAATTTCTTTGATACTGTGCTTCATTAAATGAATTAAAATTCATTAAAAAGCTTCTTGCCCCTTTTTTGAAAACCCCGATATGTTAAAAGAAATTATGTCCCCTGGAGGGGAAATAAAATCAGGGAAAATGGGTAGCAAGATCTATTGTGTTATTTTACATGCACTGAGTAAGCGTAATGTGGCCACTATACACATACAGTTGCGCGTGTTTACTGAAAAACATATCGGTACTCCAATCTTTTGCCTCCCATCACTTGTGTGAGACCTTAGACTCTTTATTTCCAAAACTACAGACAGCTTGCTTGAAGGCTTATCAACCACCTTCTAATAAGCTGCCAAACTCTGCAACATTGATGATGTGATGCTTGATGGTAGGTGCACTGCAATATTACTGAATCAAGCTAATAAAGCAGCTTGACAATATTAACTGGTTTAAGTCACTGATACATTCAGTTTTACACTGAGCTTGAAATATTTTTTTCCACAGTAAAAATAATGTTCATTAAAGAGAAGCAGAGCTCCCCTCTGCAAAAACATTAAAGGAGTCCCCCTAGAAAAAAAAAACATCCAGAGGGCTAAACAGAGGAAGTATACTTACCATGCATATTTTAACAGCTAGCCCACGTATACTTGCAACATTTAATATTGCAGCTCAGTTGTGGTTCACTTTTATCCTAAGTTTGAATTTTATTCTCTTTGTCTTGAACTCATAATCATAAAATTCATATTACCGTACCCCCAAACAAAGGGAAGCAAAATTTAAACCCTAGGTTATAATAAAATAAAACCACAGCATAGCCATTTGCTTTGAAACAACTGACATCTTTAAGACCAAGGTATGATTGATGTTCCTGGCACATTGCCCGTTAATATGTTTAAAGTTGCCTTTTATTGATGTATTAAATAACCTGATCCATCTTATCTTTTCAAATAATACAATTGCACTTACTTCTCATCATAGGTTTGTAAATATAATATTATTAGCCTTACATTTTTATCTCATCGCCAACATGTTTTAATTTGGGCTTGAAAAAACGCTACAGCTAGGAAGGAGCTCCACTGCTACACTATTACTGTCGAGGACATACACCTGGCTGCTTCGATCTACGTTATCTTTCAGCATGTATTTAAGCCAAAACCCTACGAAAAGCGTCAAGCAAAAGTAGTTCATTGCTTTGTGAGTTAGACCCAGTATAGATTTGCTCGAGTTCCAAATATGGCTGTGCTTTGAGAGTTTTTGTCCCCACTGTAGCTTCTTT